TGCATATATTTAGCCTGTCCTTTCAAAACAAGCTGTTTATTATAACCATTGGTATTGAACTTGTACACTGAAGCTCCTGCCTGTCACTTCATGGTAACAACTACTGACATGGTAGAAGCAGGATCCACTGGGGATTTACTTTCCAAAGTTGTTTCACTATTGAAGTGCTCAGCACTGAAAACAGGTAGGTTGGCAATTATTTGGCAGTGGATTGCTCTATGCTGATCAATTTTGATCTTCTTCAAGTCTATCCTGTTTAGTTTTGTGATGGTATTATGAAGCAAGACTACACTATGGATAGCAAAAGTGGTGTTCGTCAGAACATGATTAGACCTAAAAACCCAATTTAATTTAATTTATATATTAGGTTTGGATCAAATTAAACTTTGAAAGTTTTAGAGCCAAGATTGCCAACTAGATTATTAAAAAAAAACAAGCACATACTAACTCCTGATACAGATGCTGTAAGGGTTGATCCCAGGTGATTTACTAAGTAAAGTATTTGTTATGAAGTACAAAAAATGTTTGATCCTGTTATCAAGGGGTCTAATAGTGCTGCAGGTCCCTTGGAGTGAGTTATTAATGTGGGGCATATACAAGCTCCCTCCTCCTAAAAAAGGACAGTTACAATATGCCTGTGACAGAGTTGTGGAATTATAACAACAATTTAATAACGTGTTTGAATCTTTCGAAGTTTAACTGTCCTGAAGATGAGTGGGGTATAATTGAATATTTGAATCCTTCTTAGTCAAGAAAGCTAATCAAAGATCATAACTCTTAATTGTATTTTCTGAGGTTGGTAGATATAGCAAACTTCAATCCTCACTTTGTACCTGATATGGAATCAGTACCACTAGATAGAAATATAACATCAGATTTGATGAAAGTACTTTTTATCAGATTCCTTTAAGAAAAAGTTCCATGACATATTGTGTCATTGTTACAGCATTTTGTGGAGTTCAGTGTTACACTCTGTCAGCAAAGGGAATACTAAGTTCTGAAACTGCACTTGAAGAGCTAATGTCACATATTAGGTGATCTAGTTCAAGTTGCTAAGTTTGCAATGGACTTATACTCTGTTAGTAATATATCTGAAAAGCTATTTAGTAATTAGTAGCATGTGCTGCAAACATTGGATTCACATCCTTAAGCTATAAACTTTGAAAACTATTTGCCCAAAGAGAACCATCTTAGGTTGGGTTTGGTGTCAAAAGATTGATATATATTTAAGTCCTTATATAATGACCTTGTCTATCTGCTTGTGTCTGGCTACCATATGCACTTTATGTTGCTTCACTGGTGCATGTAATGGGATAGCTTGTGTTATTTATCGTCACCACCAGAAAAGCAGTGGCTGGTTTAGACTCCTCTAAGTCTAATGAATGTAAGGATATGCTACTTTAGGCTTTTCAGTTTGTTCCAGATACTCTGTATTTGAATAAGGTAACTGCACTAAACTTCCCATCAGATCTATTGTAGATCATAGCAGTTCTGTTATACAGTCTGATATTGATTCAACTTTACAATAGATACACTTTATATTGTGGAGTTCTACAGTACAAAGCTGAAGAAACATTAAATATCTTGATTTCTATATTAGAGCAAGGCCCTGTTTACTGCAGCTTCTATAGAACATTACCTCATTCAGATGACCAACCATATGTGTTCTTATTGATAGTAGGCCTAGTGTACAGACATATCTGGGCTGGTGCAGCCCCCTACACACTGTCCAGCCTTGACAGAGTTCAAAATTGCTTATGTGGCCTTGTGGGTAATGAATTTTTCTCCACCGTTAAACCCTTATCCCACATATGAAACATCACCAGCTTTTTCTCTACTATATCACTATTACTATGGCACATGTTCAGTCAAGTTACAATCACTAGTTGCACCAGCTCAGACCTTCACAGCTAAGATCCAACCTGCTATGTTCATGGTGACAAACCATCCTCCATTCCCTTCGTTTTCCTTAAAAAATCAAGTTTCCCTCAGACAACTTCTCTAGAACTGATACTTTGTGGAACAAACTCCAAGAGAATGCTTCCTGTGTTCATTTGGTATTTGCATATCTGCACATTGGGAGCCCCTCTCTGACTGACAAAAAACACTGGTGTTATATAGTTATCTCAATTCCAGACCCACACTGACTATTGGCTAATACCTGCCTAGTATCGTTCATAGTCCAAATAGTCAGTGCCACCTATTCTAAGTAGAAGGTCTTCTCTCAACAGCCTATTGTGGAAGAGGACGAGAACTCTTGGTCCTTCCAATGCCACTTGCAACCAACTCTTTTTTCTTGGGCTGGCCAATGTTGCATTTCCCTGACAACAACTACAATCTTGGTCTCTAAGTCCAGGGTCAACTGATATCTATCCTATTCATCCTCCAAATACTCTCTTATTTCCCCCTTCCCATCCTTTACTTTTTTTTACTTAGTAGTTCTCTACATTGAATGGCCCTTTGACCTTTCATTGGGTGAACTATCAGTAAAAAAAAAAAAAATATATACATTTGTTAAAGAGCAACAGAATTGTTTGTAGTTTGACTGTACATGATAAACTTTTGGAAAATGTCTACTGCCTTTTATGAGTAGGACAGGATGGAGCCAGTTTCAATTGAGATGTTCTTATCTCTCTTTCTAGTATTAATGCACATTTAGTACAGGGGTAGCCATCTATCTAAAAAAGGTAATGAATGTAAGATCTAAAGAAAATGGTCTTCACATCGTATGATGTAGTGAGCCATTTATTCAAACTGTGAGCACATTGTGGTACCCTGACAAGTGTTCCATGGATTATTAATTGCAGTACATATGAAGTTGGCTCACTCTTTTTGCATCAACAAAAGCTACTATTTCAATGTTATTTTTTTGGCCTTAATTTGGATAAATCAACTACACAAAATTTGGAGAAGAGCATGTCATTTACGTGCATCATTAATGAAAATAACACTGACTATTCAGGTACAAACTACCACTGACCCCATAAACACAGTAGGTATATCTTTTTTTCTGCCAATGTGATGAAACGGCAATGTCAACTTGTATTAAATTTATATGAATCTGTAACGTCATTTATATGTCTAGCATGTCTCTAATTAGACTGTGTAGGGATGCATACTCTTGATTCTCAAGTTACCATAAAAGTAGACCTGACAACTGGCTTTGTCAGTTTACTTTATGAAAGTATATTACTCAGCCATGGCATTGTTATAGACGTTAGGTGCACTAAAAAACATTGCTAAAAATCTAGTTGCAGAACATGATATTGCAGTTATGTGAAGAGTTAATCTGCCCAATTCTAGCACAGAAATGATCTTTGATATGACTGTCTGTAGTGACTTCAAGGCTTAAATCAAGAAACATGTTCAAGGTCTGTTATTTAGAGAAATGTAGACTCTGAAAGATTATCTAACAAATGATGAGATACCTCTCAGTCATTTGATTAATGAACAGTACAACTAACATGTGAAAATCGTAAAAGTGAATATGATTATCAAAAGTCAGCTACTCAAATCTTCACAGCTACATATTGATGACTTAGTGCATGTAATTTATGATCAGAATAATGTACAAGCTCATCAGATCTTTAATTGTTTTTTGATTAATGGGTTTTGATGTAATATAAAAACTGTGTGTTGATCCGCAGCTCTAGAATACAAAATAACATGATCCAAGTGCTATGTACTATTGAATTAACCCATTTAAAGTGATATTTACGAGGCTGCTAATGATGATTCTGATTATATGTGTCATATGGACCAACCTGAACAGTTATCACATAATGAGCCATTTTGTGAACTGCCTGCATTTTATGAACCTCATCTTCAAAATGTTTACAAAAAAACTTAACTCAGATAATGCAAAAACAACATTTTCAGTTGAGATTGAAACTTGGCTATTCAATTTTGTGGTAAGAATCACTGAAAAACCCTTTGAGTTATTCAACTAGAAAGAAACAGGTTAAAATCATTTTGTGTTAGCCCCACTGTCTTCCCAACTGAGCAATGGTGAGAGGAAAAAGATCATTCAGGCCTTCAGTAATGGTACCAATATTTACACTCTGGCTTCCATCTTTCAAAGTCCATTCAAGAACCATCAAGAGAATGCCAAATAATTTAAAAAAGAGGTTACAGTAGAGAGGAAAACTGGATCAGGAGGTCACAACAGGAAGAGGGATCATCATTTCAACTTAGAACTAAAGAGATCAATTAGAAAAGATCCAACTCAATTCTAAGAACAATCAAGACGTAAGACTCACCTTCAGTTTGAGTCTCACACATATCAAATTCCAATGATAAAAGAGTCCAATGAAATCGTATAGTGAAAAAAAAATTGAAAATTCCTTACTCCAGGGCAGAAAGTTAGAAGGTTAGAAAGGACAAAGATCATCTTGAATAAGTTAGAAAATGATCCTGGAATAATAATATATATATATATATATATATATATATATATATATATATATATATATATATATATATATATATGAACTTTTATATCAATACTTCATGAGCTTTCTGATACTTAGCTATGATTAATTAATGATGAATATGTCATTTTTGTTTATGGTCGATTTCATGATGATTTTTTTGTTAAACTTGGAGAGTAATTATACATTCTTATCAGAAAAATTGTTGTTAATTTTTACACACAATTTATATATGTGCATATATATATATATATATGTGTGTGTATGTATGTATGCTTAATTTTATTTCTTTCTATTTGGAGAGATTTGACATTTTCCTTGGATGTTTTCATTTCCCTTTCTATGCGAGAACGTCGTTATTGTTGTCTTATTGTCATCGCTTGTTGAAGGATGATGTACTTTAAATAAAGTGTATTTCAACAGCAAGAATTCTCTGTAATGTGTTCTGTCTATCAATTTTTAATTAAATCTTTCAAACCTCTGAATAAGATATTTTGTTTTATCAGTAAATTTGCAAATATTCACATTAACTTCTTATTTTACATCATTTTCCTTCATTAACACTTTCGAATGTTGAATTCATTCGTTTTCAATGATCTTTTCCCTTTCTCTCTCTTCTTTTTTCTCTCTTTATTTTCTCTATTTCTCTCTCTTTTTCTCTCTAAATTTCTCTCTCTTTTTTCTTTTCTTCTCTTCTCTCTCTTTTCTCTCTTTCTTCTTTCTCTCTTTCAATTAGGCAACTTTTCTCTTTTTTCTAATTTTTTTAACTGGTTTTAATTTTTTAAAAAAACGATTCTGATATTGCACGCAATTTGAAAGCTGCGATTTGACATAAATACACAAAATATTTTTAATTCTTGTCGTTTTTGGATAAGATGAGTTTAAAGATTAAGTTTAGGTTCAAAGTCGGAGCATTGGAATTTCATTCCGATGCTGAGTGAAATCCTTATAGCAGAGCCTGATAAAATTTTCCATTTATTGAAGCTTTACAAGTTGTATATGGACAAGATGCACATTATTACTAAATCATTGTGCCATCAAATGTAGCTTTCATTTGTTTCAAAAGGAAATTGTACTGAACAATTTAGCTATATTATGATGTAATATCCAATACAGTGCAGTAGTTTTAGTGCGATTCTCAATAAACGATGCAAATTTAAACATTTTATTTTATAATTTGTAATACAGACTTATTTTTGTTTGGATTAAATATAATCGAAAAAAAATGGTGCAAGTTGTTATTTATTGAGTAACCATTTTTGTAATCTTTTACAATTTTTAAACTCTTTTTATTAAATAAAGTAAAACTGTGCAATTTTGCTTGTGGTGATTCATAATCAGAATTTTGGTTGGATTATATTTTCTATTCAATTTATTTAATGCAAAAACTATCAACTTGTGCATATTCTTGAAAAAGAAACATTCTGAATTGAAAAAAAACCGAGGCAATTAGGTATTGCTGTACATTTATTAGAACGATATTTAAGACTAAATTCTGAAAAATTGGTAAAAGCTATAAATATAATAGTTGGTGTTATTACTTATCATAACACCCCCACCCCGCTTTGACACTAAGTGCAATGATGATATTCTGAAGAAAGTAAAAACTCAACTTGCCCTCGTTGAAAGACGAAAGGAAATCACTATATTGATACACGTTTCAATCAAATCTGAGATTTCGGATTACACAAGCCATTATCAAAGATGACAATCTCAATAAATCAAACAACAACGGACGAAGCAACAATGATAGTACGCCGTTGCTGCATGAAAATCTCAAGTAACGACAAACACGTATATACGAGACGCGGAAGCGAAAATCGCGTCGCAGCTCGTGACGTCACACATGACCACGCGAGAGTGAAAAACGAGAAGTATGGGAAGCCGTTGGTATAAACCAATGGCTACTGTTATAAATGTGTGTGTATATATATATATATATATATATATATATATGCCTATATATATATATATATATATATGCTCTCTCTCTCTCTATATATATATATGTATCTGTCTTTCTCTCTCTCTCTCTCTCTATATATATATATATATATATATATATATATATATGTGTGTGTGTGTGTGTCTACCACATATTTAGCTTTTGTCTTCCTGTGTCCTTTTCAGTGCCTCGTCATCCAAAACCCGTCCTCTACGTCTACATGGTTCATCACAGATTGACCGACCTCCCGAGCTCAAGTTCTAGAACCTATTCCTGAAGTTACCTTCACTTTCGGCATTTTCACAAATATGACTGGTGAATATTCGGAAGAGCGTTGATCCTAGCACGTGACACACTAGTTTGCATATCTATAATCATTTCTTCCCACAAGACTGCAAGTCGGAATTTTTTTTTTTTTTTCTTTGGTTACCTTTATAACAGGGTTTGTTTAATTTACCAAATAATATTGCGTCTGACAGGAAGGCCTTGGATCGGGGCAGTGGAGATTTTGAGTTGTGTGGAACCACCTCTTAATTGTGCTTGTTTCCAGGTCTACCCTGAAGCGTTGTGTTAGCACTTGTTAGGACCCCATCTATGGACAAATAATTAACTCCAACCCCCAAACAAAACAAATCTCTGGTATTATCTTATTACCAGCAATACTTTTTTGTATCAGAAAATACCGACCACGCCTATGTATAGCAAAATTCTTAATGCCTCAGTCATAATGAAAGAATCCTTTGATTATAATAATCCATATAATAATCCATATAATAATCCATATAATATCCTACAATTTCTTAAATCAAGCTGTATTTCAAAATATAACTAAAAAATGAGAAACAATATAAAACACACGTATCACTGCCCCTAGTAATTAGATTCAAAGAAGCACGGATCTTCAGAATGTCATCTCCAATATATTTTATTGAGAAATCAGAATAACATATATTTTTATTACCTAATTGCTCCCATGAAAATTAAAGTTCAACATTAACCGACTCATTCGGTGTTGATATACTGTTAAAAAAAAAATCGACTACATCGCTACTTATTTCTTAATTTATGTAAAACAGCAAATTGATTATCTTATTAGTTAAATGAGTTTCTCAAAGCTTATTAAAATGGGTTGAAAACATTAAATAGAATGATGTAAATGTATTATTTATTATGAATTTTGCATGTCCTTCCTTTCATATTGTCACTCATAATCACTTTTTTTTTCTTTTGTCCTCCGGTGTATTATTTATTGATAATCTTCCAGTAGAGCACTTATTTAGATGTACTGCATTACTTAGATCAATTACTTTGCCACTTATTTCATAATTTATCTAAACTACAGAACTGATTAATACATTACTTAAATGAGTTTTTTCAAACCTTATAGGGTTGATAGCATTAGATTTGATGTCAAAATCTTGAAATCATTGTATTTTTATTACTTCAAAGCTATCAAGAAAATTAAATTTTGGCTTTTAATGACCCATAAGGAATTGATATGCCATTAAACAAGACAAATCAACGTCATTTCTGAACGTCTTTTTTATTTTGTATGAATTATCATCCGTTCTTTGGAAAGAGAGTAGAGTTCTCTCCTGATGTCTTCTCAAAATATAAAAACATAAAACACACACATCATCGCCTCCAAGAATTCAAAGAAACCTGTATCTGTGAAAAAGTTGAGTGTCATCATACTTATTATAAAACCCAAGTTGTGAGTGTCTGTTTGTTTATCTATTGGATCGGATTTCCTACATTGTTCAACTGATTTCAACAAAACTTCACAGGACTACGTAAAATTACCTTGCGGTGGTTCTGACAGTAACAAAATTGGAAAAGCCCAATCATTTTTGCACGAATTCAATTTGAAAACACAATTAAGAGGCATCACTGTCGCCAGAATGAAAGGGGAACAACTCATATCGAGTTATATTTATAAAACCCAGGTTGTTTGTGTTCGTTTATATGTGGGATCGCATTTCCTACATTTTTCAACCGATTTCAACAAAACCTAACTTTTTTTTGGCAGGTAGTGTTTCTTATTGTCTTGCACACTTTTTCTTTATTTTTACATTCAGAATGCTTTAAAAATTCCATTTACAAGACAATTGTTTATGATAAAATTCTATTTACCAATCGATAGACTCATAACGAATGTAAACAATGTTTTTGTTTGTGTTTGACCAATTCGTAAAAAAAAAAACTAATTAAGACATGCCTGTCCGTCAACCTTAAACAATAATCTTTGTCAATTTTATTTTTCAGTCTTTATGATGGTGGATATTTGATCTATCTCTTACTGTTACATCCCCGGGCAACGCCGGGCTCTACTGCTAGTCTACAATATATTTAATTTGGAAATCAAAATAATATATGATATTTCATTGCTCTCATGAAAATTAAGTTTTAGTTTTTAATGACCCATTACGTATTGATATACTGTTTAAAAAATCGACTACTTCGCTACTTATTTCATAATTTATGTAAAACAGCAAATTGATTATCTTATTACTTAAATGAGTTTCTCAAGCCTTATAAAAGTGGGTTGAATGTATTAAATTTAATGTGTAAAACTTTAAATGATACAAATGTATTATTAATTTAATGTGCTAAAATTTCAGTATCATATGGGTTTTGCGTCTTCCTTTTATGACGACACTCATCCCTAAATTATTTTTGTCTTCCGGTGTATTGTCTGTCTGCAATCCTCCGGTACAGAACTTATTTTGATTTACTGCATTACTTAAAACAATTACTGTACCACTTATTTCATAATTTATCTAAACCATAGAACTGATTAATGCATTACTTAAATGAGTGTTTTTCAAACCTTGTAAGGTTGATAGCATTAGATTGGATGTCAATAACTTGAAATTATTTTATTTTATTACTTCAGTGCTCTCAAGAAAATTACATTTCGGCTTTTAATGACCCATAAGAAGTTGATATGCCATTAAACAAGACAAATCAACGTCATTTCTGAATGTCTTTTGTATTTTTCTTTTTTGTATGAATTACCATCCGTTCTTAGGAAAGGGTAGAGTGATGTCTTCTCAAAATATAAAAACAGCATAAAACACATCATCGCCTTCAGTAATTATATTCAAAGAAGCCTGTATCTACACAAATACTGAGTATTATCTATAATATATTTAATTGGGAAACCAGAATAACATATTTCTATTAGTTCATTGTTCCCATGATAATTAAATTTCGGTATTAAATGACCCATTACGTGTTGATATGCCGCTAAACGATCGAATCAGATCATTTACCAAATAATAATGCTTATTTCCGTTCGCATTTTGTTCAAAACAGGTACATGTTTATTAACGTTCCTAGGCTCAAGAGTTCTTTGCAAATCTTTTCTTTTTTGTTATTTTAAGGAATTCAACTTAGCGATAGTTCGAAATACTTAAATTCCTTTCATTTATTAGACAAATATGCTTTTAAATTCTATAATTAAAATTCTTCTTTGAAGAAATATCGAGAAAGCTATTAATAAACGGCCACCCATTTTGAGAAATTGCCAGGCGTGAAACGGCATTACGAATGGGTAAATATAACAAAAAAGTTATTTTTATGCATACTTAAAAAGTGGTTTAAAAATTAAAATAGAAGACTCTTTAATACATAAATTTATACACAATATAAATACATATATATATATATATATATATATATATATATATTAATGAATGAAAAAAAATTATATAAAAAAATGAATAAATGGGAGAAATTCTTTTATCAACAAATTTAATAAAGTTAAATTAAAATATCTGTAGAACAAAAGATTTTCCTGACCAAATACCATTGCATAAGGTATTTTTATTATTTTTTTTTTGTATTTTCATCTGGGCATACAAACACCACAAATCTTCAATAGATTTTTTTTAAATATTTTTAAAAACAGGACAACAAAAGAATAGATGTAATTTTTATGTTTTTTTTTGTGTTTGTTAAATTGTTCATGTTTTTTTTTTTGATTTGTCCTGATGATGTTTATTTTATGAAAAGGTTGGTAAAATTAAATTTTAAAAAGAAAAGTTTATGCAAAATGGAATTTATAAAATTTGGGACAAGTATTTAACATTCATCCACAGGTTATTTAGAGATGTAAATTTATTAAATTTGTTTATATATATATGTATTTCGCCATTTGTATCATTAATTTAATTTATATTGTTTTTTGTGTTAAATGATTCATGTAATGTAAATTGAACTTTAATTAAAGTTATAATATATATATATATATATATATATATATATATATATATATATATATACACACACACACATAATATAAATATATATATATATATATATATATATATATATATATATATATACACACACATATACACACACACATTTTTTTTGAGAAAGGATTAATTGTTGTCATTTTATTTTTCAAATCATGCACTTTGTTCGTTTTCGATTTTGTCGACTGAATAGTATATTTTGGTCAGTTGCGTGCCGTCTTGAAAAAAAAGAGCACCATGACTCAATTCACTTCCCAATAATTTGAAAAATTTGCTTGGGTTTTTTGGAAGCTAATTAAATAAACATTTCAGAGTGTTTGGGTATCAATCTTTACAGTGCAGAGGATTCAGTTTAATGGATGAGTCTAATGGTGATTACGAAGGTACGGCAACTAAAAAAAAATTTATTAGTTTTTTATGATAATTAAAGAACTACTGAATATGTTGGAAAGGGGCCTCAGACTCAACACGGTGGCTGATATCAAGTGCCTTAAGGAGGTAGTGTTGTCCGGGATAAAGAGGGTGACTGCTGGAAAACCCTATGTCTAGCATCAGGACTCTGCACCATGCCACACAATCAAGAGAACCCAGTCATGGCTTTCAGAAAATTTCTGCGACCACGTCACTCCTCAAATCTGGCCACTTAACTCCCCAAACTACACCCCCTTGATTTTTATGTGTGGGGCGCGGTCGAACTAGAGAGCAACAAAACTCCTAGTAACATCAAAGATAAGCTGAAGGATTGTGGCAGCATTCACCAATTTAAAAAAGGAGACTGTCCAGAAGAGTTGCAGGTGATTCCGAAGTCGTCTAGAGGCCGTTGAAGCCAATGTTGTTTTTATTGGATAATTTTACTCTTTTGTATTTCAAGATATTTGTGTAATTTTGATAAAAATATCTGTTTAAAACGAGTTGTCAATGTTATTTTCATTTTGGCGTCATTTAGACGACAGTTTACCTATCGCACCCTATATATCTGTTAAAATAAGATGTCGGTGTTATTTTCCTTTTTTGCGTCATTTAGAGAACTTAACCATTGTATGCTGTTCAGTGGTGCATTATGGGTAGGTCTATTTAAACGACAATTTATCCATCGTACCCTGTGTATCTCATGTTTCACTGTTAGAATGAAATGAAATTCTTATGTCGATATGTGTGCTTGGGTTTTAGATTTCCTGAACGCAACCGTTCCGATGCAGACACCAACCTGAAGGTTGATAAGTTACGTCTGACTGGCTGTTGGAATAATTGCACCCACCGACTCAGAAACACAGAAAGATGGGTGAATATCAAGGAAGATCCTGCAATTGATTTTTAGATAATATTGACGACATTTCTTTTCTGTCTTTGACCTATTTCGTCTGATATTTAGGATTTTCGATTTCTTTCTTCTCCTTTTTTTTTTTTTCACTTTGTGCACTTTGTTTTGGTTCGATTTTGTTGTTCAGCGTTCACTTTGCCAGTGTCTCTTGTTTTTTTAAATTTTAAAATTCTTCAAAAAAAAATTTGTAATAGATGAAATCAACTTAATTCGAATAAATACCAAAGATTTGATCAAAAATGTTTTTTTGGGATTTCTTTTTTCGATAAGATCGATTGTTACACTTCTCATTCTGTTTTGTGCAAAAAGCTAATCTCCCTCGCTTTTTTAGTCAATTTTTATACTTTTTTTTTTTCTTTCTTTTTTTTAATTTCTTTTTCTCTCCTTTTTTTCTTTCCGAGTTTCTTTCTTTCCGGTTTGCTTAAAATTTTCTTTCCCACGACTCTTACTTTTATTTGATTAGTGCTATTCTTTGTTAACCTGATTTCTTTTTTTTCTAATACAAAGATTTTCATTTTCATTTCCATTTTCTCGCTTTTTGTTTTTTTCTTCTTTTTAATTTATTTATTTTTCTTTTTTTTGTTCATTCTACTATATTTCTTTCAAATCCTCTCATTTTCGTTTTGTTTTTTATTCTTTCTTTTTTTTCTTTCTTTCTTTTTTTTTAAAACGAGAATTTATTTTTTTTCTTTCTTTTTCTCTTGAGTTTCAAATTTCTTTTGTTTTCATTTTTTTTTGTTCATTTTATCTCTCTTTCTTTCTCTTTTTTCAATTCTTTTAAATTTCTTTCTCTTTTTTTCTTTCTTTTCTTTTCTTTCTTTTCTTTCTCTTTCGTCTTTCATTTCTTTCTTTTTTTCTTGTTCATTTTCTCTCTTTTTCTTTCATTCCTTTCTCTTTCTTTCTTTTTATTCATTTTTCTCTTCGAAATTTTCATTCTTCTCTTTTTTTTTTTTCTTTCTCTCTCTTTTTCTTTTTCTTTCTCTCTCTTTCTTTCATTCTTTCTCTCTCTTTTCATTTTTTTTTTCTCTTTTTCTTTTTTTTTTTCTTTTTTCTCTTTTTTTTCTTTTCATTCTTTCTCTCTGTCTTTCTTTTCTTTTCTTTCTCTTCTTTTTTTCATTTCAATCTCTTTCTTTCATTTTTTTTTTTTCTTCTTTCTTTTCTTTTTTTTCTCTCTTTCTTTTTTTTTCTTTCTTTTTCTTTCTTTCTTTTCATTCTCTTTCTCTTTTTTTTCAAAATTCTCTCTCTTTCTTTTGTTCATTCTTTTTTCTTTTTTCCTTTTTGTTTTCTTTTAAACTTTTTCTTTTTTTTTTCTTTTTCTTTTCATTTTCTTTTTTTTTTTTTTTTTTTTTTTTTCTTTTCATTCTTTCTTTTTCATTCTTTTTTTTTCTTTCTTTTCTTTTCTCTTTTTCTTTCTCTCTTCTTCGGTTCTTTTTTTTTTCTTTTTTTTCTTTTTCTTTCTCTCTTTCTCTTTCTTTTTCAAAAGAATTCTCTCTTTTTCTTTCTTTTTCTTTTTTCTCTAATTTTTATTTTTTTTTCTTTCTTTTTTTCTTTTTTTCTTTTTTCTTCTTAAAACTTTTTTCTTTCAAATTCTCTCTTTTTTTCTTTTTTTCATTCTTTCTTTCTTTTTTCCTTCATTTCTAAACTTTTCTTTCATTATTTCATAAATTCATTTTTCTTTTTTTTCTTTCTTTCTTTTTCTTTCTTCATTCTCTCCTTTTTTTTCATTCTCTCTTTTTTTTTATTTCATTCCTTTTTTTTCTTTTCTTTTTCATTCTTTTTTCTTTTATTTTTCTTTCTTTCTTTCTTTCCTTTTTTTTCATTTCTTTCTTTTTTTCTCATTCTTTCTCTCTCTCTTTTCTCTTCATTTTCTCTCTTTTTCGAGTTCTTTCTCTTCTTCTCTCTTTCTTTCTTTCTCTCTCTTTTTTTTTCATTCTCTCTCTCTCTCTCTTTCTTTCATTTTTTTTCTTTTTTTTTTTTTCTCTGTACTTCATTTCTTTTCCTTTTCAATCTCTTTCTTTCTTTTTTTTCTAATCTTTCTCTCTCTTTCTTTCTCTTTTCTCTCTCTCTGTCATCTCTCTTTCTCTGATTTTTCTTCTCTTTCTTTCAAATTTCCTCTTCTCTCTTTCTTTCTTTTTTCGTGTTCTCTTCTCTCTCTTATTTCTTTCTCTCTTTCATAAATAAAGTTTTCGTTCGACATCCCAACCACCATAGATAGATATTAAAAAATTAGTAGTTAATGCATAATATTATCTATAACTAATATTCACATTATTTACTAGGCCACAAAAAATCTCCTGAGCCGACCAAGCATAGAAATAAATACAATATGGGAACCCGTAATAAGGAGTGCCAGAGAAAAGCAATGATAACAAAGTTGCAATATGAGCTCTGGTAAAAACATGAAATTATAACAGCAAAATTGCAATATGAGCACTGGTAAAAATGTTTGCTGATAACATTAGGTTTATAATACCCAGAAATTCATACCCAGATGTCCTCAAGGACACATGGCACAGTGGATAAAGGTGTTGGTTAGATCCAGTGACAGAACCCAAAGAGTGTGAGTTCAATACCTGCTTGTGATAAATATGGCAACCAAGTTGAGGACAATAGTCCGAATAATGTACATAAAACCTCATCTCAGAAATATAGACAAACTAATATTCAAGAATCTCGTTTTTGATAAAGGTTTTAAAAGACAGTCATAATATGTGTATATTGTCGAAAATTCCTTTTTCCACAATATGGATATTTGTTTTGTTATAATGCTTATTACCTGAACAATAATAATAAAGAATTTTTTTTTTTTTTTTCACCATCAAAGTATATTTAATCCCATCTCCCTAATAGCTGTCACGATCTGTTAATTTTTCCTCTGTTCGAACGAGTGTTTGCTTTTCTGAACAGAATCTGTGTAGAGAAACTGTGCAAATGTTCTTTAATTCCGAGACCTTTTCGGCTATACTTTTAGCCATCATCAAGGATGATTTTATCTTTACTTTTTAACCGAATGTATGGGTTGTGTGGTTGGGTTCCGTCAGGTTATCTTACCCAAGAAACACCGCATCTACTGCGGTTGCAGTACACGTGGTTCCCTGACGATCCTGATGGGTCACAGGAATCACGATCGATTGATGGATTGTGTTTATGTATCTTGAGTTATAGGGACGTTTTATTTTCCAAACATTCTGTCCGTGTTCGTTGTTAATGTTATTGTGTGTTGGCTTTTTTTTTTTTTATTATTAAGAAATTATTATCTGTCTATATTTCTGAGATGAGGTATTATGTAACTATTTACATTATTTGGACTATTGTCTTCATCTTTGTCGCCATATTTATTACAACGTTTCGGCTGTTGTACGCTCCGGCCTTCTTTCAGTTGGAATGTCGAACTGAACCCTTTATTTTTTCTCACTAAAGACTGTTCTAGTTCCACCTGCCATGTTTTTAATGGATGTCAGTTATCTCCTGTTAATTACCCTCTGTAAGTTCTTCACTGCCTTAACCAGGTATTGAACTCACACTCTTGGGGTCCTGTCACTGGATATAACTAACGCCTTTATCCACTGCGCCATCTGCCCTTGAAGAAGGTCGGATCGTACAACGGCCGAAACGTCGTAATAAATATGGCGACAAAGATGAGGACAATAGTCCGAATAATGTAAATAGTGTAAGGCTTCCATTATTTTTAATCTTTTTTTTACATGGTTATGGGGTTATTATGCTTCTATTTTCTACTAATATGTTTCAGATGGTATCTTTTAGGTTTGTGTGTGTGTTTAAATGATTTCTAATGGAGCTGTGTTTGGATAGGTATGTAGTATTGTGACTAATCTAGCTTTCAACAAATCCAAAAACGAAAGAAAAAAAACGTGGGTATGCTTAAATAATGAACCATAGTAATTTTTCCCTAAGATGGCGTTCCTTGTGATTAAAGAAGAAAGAAAATTAGTGACATTTTAAAAAACGTCGTTAACATTTATTCTGTATCTTTTCTTTTGAATTTTTAGTTCATGTCGAAAGGTGTTGATATATTTTTCAAGTTTTTTTCTTTTGTATCGAATTAAAGGCAAATCCTAATCTCATTTTCACTGAACGGCTTTTTTGAAAGTCAGCCATTTATTTTTCTTTCCTTAATCACAAGAAACAAGAGCTTAAGGAAAACATACTATGATTAATTATTTAAGAATAGACATATATACATTTTTTCTTTCATTTTTTTTTTTTTATCTGATGAAGCCTAGAAACGCGTAATCAAATCTAGTTTCAACGAAACGCTTTCCATTTATCATATATATAAATAAAAGCTGACAACGTTGACAGGGGCTACCGCGGTTTCGACCGCCGAGGTCTGAGATCATGGCCGAATGTAAATACGTCAGAAAGTAAATTTTGGGGCTATACGAACACGGATGAAGTTGGAATAAGTTTTTACTAAACTCCCCTCCCCAGCCCGCATCACTTCCGGTGTCGAATGAAGGCATTTAAGTTGCTGAATTGCCTCAGAGTGATTCGCTGAATATTCCACCTGAGGAGACCTCAGCATTCGAAACCGCGGTAGTGTTCCGGTCAACGTTTATGTCTTTTTCAGATATATATATATATTTTAAGACATTTTTTTTATGTTTATACGTTCTTTTTATAAATACAAATATTCAAGTAAATGCTCTGTTTATAAAAAACAAAGCATATACTTAAATATTTGTATCTATAAAAAAACGTATAAACATAAAAATGTTTAAAATATATATATATATATATATATATATATTAACGCTGAACAGAAAATATTATATATATATATATATATATATATATATATAATAACGCTGAACAGAAAACATTATTATATATATATATATATATATATAAAATAAAAAAGTTACTCCAAAATTCGCTTGAGGATGAAATGGAACTAATGCTTTTAATTTAATTGCAAAATTAAAATCGGGGCTTTTAGCTTCTATTTTTGAAACATGGTTAGAACTGTGTAGCGGGGGAAAAAACATAATTTATATCAAATAATTTGTAATATATATATATGTGTGTGTGTGTGTTAAAAAGATAAAAACGCTGACCGGAACACTACCGCGCTTACACACATATATATAATATATATATATATATATATATATATATATATATAAAATGTTTGTGTGGTCTTTCAATCAACAGACGATTTCTGTTCATTTTCTTATATTTCATAATTTTCAAATGTGGGGTTTATTCCAAAGTTATGGTAGGAGTCAGTCAGCCTGAAGAACAGAATAATGATAGTATAGAAGACAAGATTTCCATTGCTACATCCTGGCATTTTAAAGAGACAGAGTACCGTATAAGTGATGACATATATAGTCACCAAACAAGAGTTCCTTAATAATAATTCAGTAAAAGTATTTATGTTCTTAATTATTTAGTGCCGGGATTGTTAGAAATTTCATTTAAACCCGGAGGAAATTCTTACATGCAAAATCAGCGAGAAAATGAAGCGTTCTAGCATTATTCTGTCCGGATTAAAAGAGGTTTCAGAAAATCTGGTGTTGCAAAGTGAAGATTTGAAGTGAAGCAGTTTGTTCACTGTCTCGACCACCCACGGCTTGTTTGGATGAAGTAGTTAAGACTTCGACCGTTAACGACGAAGTCCCGGTATAAGGGAAGAAATTTCAAATCTTGTCAGCTATATATTGTGTTTAATGGGACATTAAAGACAGAGGATATTAAAATGTGTCTGTGTAAAATGCAAGACCGATGTTTAAAGCGTGTCGCCCTGAAATGCATGTTTCAAGCGTGTCGCCCTGAAATGCAAAATTAAAGCGTGTCGCCCTGAAATGCATGATTAAAGCGTGTCGCCCTGAAATGCATGATTAAAGCGTGTCGCCCTGAAATGCATGATTAAAGCGTGTCGCCCTGAAATGCATGATTAAAGCGTGTCGCCCTGAAATGCATGTTTCAACCTTGTCGCCATGAAATGCAACTATAAGACGAAGAAACATTTTGGTTTGTTTTGTTTTACGGCATATCAACATCAATGGGTCATTTAATGCCGACAACTTTTTTTTTCCTGGTAACATTTTTGTTTTGTCAAAAATCTATTTCTGTTAATATTTTTTCCTCAAAAACGTATAGCTGGTAATATTATTTTTTTCATAAACGTGTTATCAGAGATCTTGCTATTGGACGTAGTTTATCGTCATACCCAGCACGCGGATGTAGTTTATCGTCATACCCAGGACGCGAAACATTTTGGCAAATCGTGATAACAACTTCTCTTTTTTTTTAAACTACTACAATTAGGAAGTAGGAAAATCTTATGTGCTCTCTTCTGTAAATAACATCGACGCGATTTCAAATTCTGTTTTCGTTTGTAGCGTTCAGTTTCACCAAAATGCCCTTAAGAAAAGCAAGGAATCAACATTTAATCCTGTTCCCCAGCTATTGGTTAAATATCAGTGTAGACCGTGTTCTCTAAACTTGGTTGGTAAGCAGTCGAAGAGAAGGGAAACTGAAGGTAACCACTCCACTATCTTTCCTAAAACCTCATCGCGATTTCGAGATAAAGAAAAAGTCTCTCTCGGGGAGAGTCATTATCTCCTATTTTTTTGAAAAAAAACAAAAAGACATAGGATTTATTAAAAATGAAAACAAATATCTATATCCCAAGAATATGACATAGTTATTGCTTATTTGTGTGAAAATCACGCGGTTGAAAGAGTCACACGACACGAGACTTGATTAAAAACAGAAGACGAAGAGGAATCTGCAATGAGAGACAAACCTAATTTTGGTAACGCCGCATCGTCTTCTGCTGCTAAAGTCGCCTGATATTCCTAGCTATCCGATTCTCTTGTCGAAAAAGAGACACACAATCAATTGTTCTTTTGTTTCGCTTATACGACTTCTGTGTCACGTGATATTTCGACATCGCCGCCAAATTATCGGAGACTCTACTGTCGACTACTAATTCGAAGTAAATCTCTTTTTTTTTCTTTCAGTCAAAAGAAAGCATCTGAAGATGCGAGCATCAATACATGTCACGTGATATGTTTGAGATCACGTTTTCGTGTGATTTGAAATCTGGGTTGCCTATTTTTTTATTTATTTATTTATTTTTTTTTTTATTTACATAGGACTGCATAAAGAAATATTATTAGCATAAATCCATGAGTGTGCGTGTCAG